ACAATGGTACAGCTCAAGTTTAGTCCTCTGTAATCTATGGAACTGTCAAGAAACCTGTCAGGGTTAAACTCATCAGGGTTTGTCCATAGCTTTGGATCACGTGCAATCGAGTAGATGTTGATCATCATTTGGGTTTTCGCGGGAATATCGTAGCCTTGGATCTTGACATGAGACAATGTCTCTCTTGGAAGCAAAAGTGGAGCTGCTGGATGTAACCTGAATGTCTCCTTGACCACAAGCTTGAAGTAGTGAAGTTGGTTTAGATCTTGCTCTGTGATTCTCTCCCTCTTGTCCCCAAGTGTTGTCCGAATCTCGTCTTGCACTTTCTTCATCACTCTCGGGTTTCTGATCAGCTCGGCCATCGCCCAGTTTAAAGTGACGGCGCTTGTGTTTACTCCTGCAAGAAATATGTCCTGTTACAAAACACAGACGCGTAAGTTCAAATCTTTACAAGAGTTTAGAGGTATTGCGGTCTAAGAAGAAGATTTACCGAGATGATTCCTTTGAGATGATCTGTTGTGAGCTTGAAAGATTCTCCATCTTTCTCTTGCTTCTTCATCAGATCAATCATCACATCAACAACATCAGGGCTCTCTGATACTTCTCTTCCAGGTTTAAGATGATCATCGAGCACGTTTTGGAAGAAATTGTCGAGTTCCGAGAAAACATTGTTCAGTGTCTTGTTCTGACCTGAGAACCGGTCGACAAGGCAACCAACTCCAGGGAAGAAATCAGTGAACGCAACACCAGCGACTAGCATCTCAAACTTGTTAACTAGATCCGCAACGTTGTCCTCGTCTACGAACTCGCACTTGTGAATATTTATCCCGAAAGCGAGCCTGCACACGATACTCGCGACTAGCGTGAAAAGGGTCTTCTTCAGATCCACCTGGGATTGTGTCAGAGCGGATTCGGTTAGCTTCTTGATTAACAAGTCATTCTCTTCCTCTCTTATATACCTGAAAGACTGAAACTTTTTCGTGTTCAAAAGCTCCATAACCACGAGCTTCCTCAACGCTTTCCATTCCTCACCGTAAGGAGCGAATCCGATGTCTTTGAAGTTGTAAGAGATCATTCTTGTCGCAACCGTCTCTGGTCGGCTGCAACATTCAAGATCTTGGGTCTTGAGAGCTTCTTCTGCTCCTTCTTTCGATGAGATCACGACCACGGGGACGAATCCGAAGTGGAGAAGCATCACTGGTCCAAATTTTTGGGAGAGATTTCGAAAACATGTGTGTGGCAGTCCTTTGAGGTTGTGTAAGTTTCCGATGATCGGGAGCGTCTTTGGTCCCGGAGGAAGCTTCCATTTTGAGGGTTTGAGTTTTATTGAGAAAATTGATAAGGAAACTAAGAAAACAGGTAAAAGACAGAGGAAACAGAGCAAGATTGACATTTTTTGATACTCTGTTTCTTTTTTTCTTTGTTGATCTGATTCGATTGGGAGTTATATAGACAGTTTATTTATATAATATAACTATTACTTGGATTAATCATATATTTGGTTGCAACTAGCAACGTGTAGTTTTCTTAAGATAATAATCTAATCATCTACTTGAATAGATCAAAATCATATTAGGAGTAAAGAAAGTCAGTAAATTCATTCATTCATTCAATGTCAATTACTGTATATCTAAAGAATTCATGGTTTTAAAAAGTTAAGTTTCCAAAATCAAAATATATAGAAACCTTCGGAAAATAGCAATATAACGGATATTATGGAAAGCCTAATACAATCTATAAAGTGTCGGATTGATGGCTCTTAGAAATCTTTGGACCCAACTATGGGTATAGGATGATGGTGTTTTCAAGGAACTGATCAAACTCTGCTGCTTGGTGCAAAATGTCTTCGGAGGTGTCTCTCCCCTCTTCACTCGGAGTTGGAGGTTTTAATTTGGGCTATGAGGAACATCCTTTCAAGAAGGATTGATTGTCAGACATTTAAAACAGATTGCTTTGAGTTAGTCTCGATGGTAGAGTATCCTAAAGAATGGCCCGCATTCTCTAATCAGCTAGATGATTTGGAATTGCTCCGTGTCTCTTTTCCCCTCTTCTCGCTTTTTCATATTTCTCGTTTATGTATTTTTAAGACGGACTGCTTAGTCCGTTCTTGTAGACTTTTATTTTCTGATGTTATTTTTGTAAACTCTTCTTCTCCTAATTGATTAACCAATCATGAAGTTATTTTTTTAATGAATATGTGATTGACAAAAAAAAAATTATATAGAAAACTAATCCCTTTCAAAGCTAATCATGAATTGTACCTTTTAAAAAGTGTGCTACATCAACAATATAACAACGATATATTTTCCTGCGAAAAATATCACATCACACCAAAACTACAACATAATATAAGTTCGTGCTAAATGTCCTAGAAAACAAACTTTGAATCCTATATCTCCTATAGATGATATACATACAATGATTGTCAAAGCTGATATGCCACAATAGTCATCAACGTCTTTAAAGCTTAAAGGATTCGTCACCTTCACCATGAGTAATATTCCCTCTGTCCCAAATTATAAGATGTTTTAGCATTTTTTTTTGTTCTATTTTATAATATTTTTCCAAATTTTTATGCATAATTTATGTTTATTTAGTATGTTATGACCATTTAAATTCTGCAGTCTTTTTTTCTATTGGCTGAATTCCTATAAGAAAGTAAACATTAATTATTCTTTAATCTTTATGCTTTTACACAAAATATCTTATAAAATGGGACAAAGGGCGTATATTATCTAAACAGAAATATGTTCGAAGCATCCAAACAACAACTTGTATTCTGGTTATATATGGGCTTACATCTTTGTGTCAGGGGGTTGCTCGGGCCCTTAAATCTTAATTGCATCCATGACATTTCCAAAATTTTGTAATTTATTATAACTAGATGTATTATTATTGCCCGCCATTCAAATTTATTGCTATCCTGCTTAGACCTATAGTCTAATAATTTTAGTTCAATATTTTCTCCAAATTGAAATTGATAGGCAGTTTCTTCTATTCTTTTGACAACCAATATAAAAGTTTATTTTACAATTTGGGTTGTTAATAGTTGTGGATGTCGGAATCCGCAATACAAATTTTATGATGTGTATCGGATCGTCTAGTCTTGCTAATTCGAACAACAATCGTAAGAAGAAAACAAGAGAGTAAAATGTGTGTATCTGTTTATTGCTCAAGAAAATTTCCTCCCCAATACAATGGTTTTCGTTTCCTATTTATAATTACATGATTTGAAACCGAAGTCGCTCATCAAACCGCAGATCTCGCCTCCATTATTGCTTCCGTTTCGAATCTTCCCGATCTCGCACATCCCGTGCAACCCGCCTTTCATTTAACTCGTGGGATCCCGCCGTTTTACTCGAACTGGGCTTGAACTTATTGGGCTGCTCTTTTCGTCCCCTGGACCGGGCCGACGGCCCACTTCTTCTTATTGATCCACTATCTTTCCGGGCCGGATCCAAACTGCGGGATCCGACACCAACAGTTTGCCCCCCAAGTGTTCCGAAGTATTCACTTCGGGATACTTTAAATAACAAACTCTTCTCGGGCTCGGAGATTTCGTCATTAATTCCGCTTTCCCCGGGATTTGGTTCCTCGACCGAAGTGACGTTTCGAGATCTTAGGATATAAATTTTCCCGCGGATCGAGGGATTCTTCTCGGGATGAGGGCGGCGTTTCGAGTTCCTAGGGTTTCCATATTCCCGCCAGAGATTCCTATTAATACTTGTTTGGACTCTTCGGGTTCTGCACAACCGCTTCAAGTTCGCTCATACTTCGTCGTCTGCTTATTTAAGGTACCGAACCCTCTCCTCTTTTCTCTCTTAACACTCTTCCGATTACGCTTAGTTCTTGCTATTTAGTTTCGGATTCGTGTTAGTTCACCGCTCTAGATTAGTTCCGTGCTAGATTTAGGCCAGAGATCTAAAAGATTTCTTAGATTTTCAGCCCTCTACTCCGAAATTGTTCGCTGTTCTTCAACTCCTCTGCCGTGTTCTTGATATTCCGTTGAATCGCAACCGTTTTCCGAAGAACATCAACCGCTTAATCTTTCCGGTTTCTGGGTTTTCACGAAGATCTTCGAAGTTTGCTCAAGCGTGTTCTTGAGTTGTTCTTGAAATATCTTCCCAAATCCCTGGCGCCAGATCTTGTTTCGTCTCTACATCTTCCTTAATTACGTTATGGCTCCGAAGCGAAGCAGGAAGATCCAGAATGAGACTCAAATCATGGAAGGCGAGTTCGGGAAGTATTTTTCTTCGAATCTCGACAATAAAAAGCTGGCTCTGCTGAAAGGTGCCTGCCAGATCCCTCGTTGAGTCTCCTTGATTACTCCGGGTCCGACAGATTCTCCGGAGTCTCCACCTACCGGTCACACTTGCGCTTTTAAAATTTTCTTTTCGGAATGCGGGCTATCTTTTCCGCTTCCCGGCCTTTTGGTCGAATTGATGCACGAGCTTGGAATTGCACTTCCTCAACTATGTCCAAATGTAGTTAGGACCGTCCTGTGCCTCCAGACCCTTGCAGAGGAAAATGGATACCGTATCACGCTATCCGACGTACTCCATCTTTATACAGTAAAGAAGGGGCGAACTCCGGGGACGTTTTTCCTCAGTCCTCGGAGTAATTTCAGAGTCTTCGGGGATTTTCCCGAAAAGGACGAGCAATGGAGAAAGTCCTACTTCTTCTTCGCTGTAGACGAATTTTCTTATGGTCCAAAGACGGATTATTTCGTTCGTGAATGGACTCGTCGTCCCGGTAGATAGCTCCTTAGGTTTTTCACTGCTTTTCACTCGTCTTTTTTTTCCTTTCTAATCCGTCAATGTTTTTGCTTTTGCAGCTAAACTTCCGAAGAAAACGCTTTCTCATACTTTTGCGGGGCAATTCGTAAAGATTTGCAATAGCAGCGACCTGTCGTGGGAATTGTTCACTTGTGAACGCATCCGGAGTTCGTGTGCTCGAATTATCTCGCGATCCGACCTCATTTCCTCCACTCTTCCCTCCTCCCCTACTGTCGCCACTAACATGTCTCCACTTTCCTAGCGCGAAGAGAAGAGGCTCCAAAAGGAAAGGGAAAAAGCGAGAGAAGCGAGAAAGAAAGAAGATAAGGCCAGGATGGTGAAGGCCTTGGATGAAGGGAAGTCCAGATCTTCATCTAGTAAAGGGAAGAACTTGGGTACCGTAGATCCGGTTTCCGAATCGAAGACCTCTGATCACCGTGATCTAAAGAAGGTGTCTTCGGGAAAAGACCTAATCCGGATCTCGGATTCTCGGTCCTCCCGATCTTCTCGGGAAAAAGAAATTTCAGAAGGAGTTCATAGTGCAACCTCCTCAAGGAAACGCAGGAACGAGGAATCTGAAGTTCCTTCCCTCCAACGCAAGAGTCGTTCTCGTCTGAACGACGAGAAAAATCCTTCCGAGGATGCTGGGACCAGTCTGGGGTCAAAACCAGAAGAAAAAGAAGATCCACAACGGGCCCCGGAGTCCGACTTGCCAACTCAGCTTCTTGTCCTGCCTTCGCGGGACTCTGAGAACCGGGGATCCGTCCGTCAAGAGAATCCGATCCCCACTGGTAAGTAGAGTCACTTCGTATTTCTATCTCGCTTCGAGTTCATTTTGACGTTTTTATTTTATTTTAACAGCTCCTCCGAAGTCACCAGCTGATTTCATGAGGAACTTTACTCCTGTTGGGATGAGGATTCCTCCCTTTAGTGACTTGAAGGAGGTCAACAGAGCGAACTACTTTCGCTTCGCTGATAAACTCGGAGAGGTAATTCTTTGAACTCTTCTCCTCCTTTTATAAAAATAAGAACTTTTCTTTCCGTCCTCATGAATCTTCGTTTTGACAGTTAATGCTCGAGTACAACACCACCTTCTCCTGCCACGAGTCCCAGCTCTTTCCAGTTAACGAGCTGGATGGCCTCAGGGCCCGGGTCGCCGAACTCGAAGAAGAAGTCCGTCAACTGAAGGAGATGGAGGAGGAAAATGCCAGGGCGGTGGCAAAGGCAAACGAGATCCGGGAGCGAATGCTGGAGGCCGAAGGTCGCTGCAACCTTCTTGACATTGCCAAGACTGATCTTTCCGAGAAGCTGAAGATCGGGAAGAACCTGTATCTCGAGGCATGTGAAAAGATTACCTCGCTGGAAGCTGAAGTTAAGCAAAGCGAGGAATGGTGCAAGATCGCTGCTGAGAAACGGGACGAGGAGCTCGCAGCAGCGAAAAAAGATGAAAGGTTGAGGCTCCGTGAACTCTATAGCGGACTCGCCTCGAAGCATGAGACCTACTACAAGGCCATCAGTGATAATGAGATGATTGGGACGCGTCTTGCCGAGATTCGGGCGAACCGAGAACTTCTTGAGGAGATTCTGAAGGGAGAGATTCCGGATTTAAAAGCCGAACTAGAGTCGGTAAAGAAAGACGAGGAAGAGGCTGAGAAGAAA